AGCTGTCAGTCAAAACCAAGGATAGACATAGCACATGATGTAGAACAGAGTACACGGTTATTAACAATGGTTATCAATGTTGTCTCTTGTTTTAAAATACCTTTCTTTTATGACCACTTGCTGCAATTGTCTTCAAGATCTCCAGTTCTATCCTTCACTTCATTCAGACTGTTTTATATATTTTCAATGAAGATTTTAATCTCCTGGATCTCTGTTTGTATCTGTTTCATGGATTTCATTTGTCTCCTATGTTGGCACTTTTGTTTTCATCTTTTTCTAAGGTCATCTATTCTTTCATTTGTGTCTTCTCTAATATCTTTGATTTTTGTACCTCAGAGATCATTTTCTCTATAATCTTTTCCACTTCTTTTTTCACTTCTGTTGTTATCATTTCAGAAAGTTCCAGGGTTTGACTTCCAACTTCATCCATTTCATCGAGTTCCGGGCCTGTCCTGGGTGGGCTGGGAGTTTGAAGGCCATACCCTGCCTCTGCGTCTTGCCATTCTCCACCTTTTCGCTTTTCTTTTGTCTTCTGTGTTGTTGCCTGCCAACCTCTTATGACATATAGCTCTACTACTAGCATTGAGATCTCTATCAAGGAAGAAAGGAGATGTCTTTTCCTCAAGGTTGTCCCCCAGATGTACTTGGTTCTTTATAGCTATCCCAAGAACCTACCTTCTCCTGATGTTTACAGTTCTGTGAAAATGTCCATATTCCATCCCAGAGATGTGCTGAGCATGCAGTCAGTCTTGGCCTGTAGATGTGGAGGCTGGGACCGGTGTTCTGGGTGTTCTGTTGGTGGAGTTCTCCAGAATCCAACTCCTATCTCCTCCCTGCTGCCTCAGGCACTTCCACATTCCTGGCCTCACTGATTACTTTGCCCTCCAAACGTGTGTGTGTGTGTGTGTGTGTGTGTGTGTGTGTGTGTGTGTGTGTCTGTGCACCAGGCTGTTGTCCTGTTTCTAGGGAGTTCCCATAGGTTTTTAAACTCTTCCAGCTGACCCTCCTGTTGGGAGGGTAACGGAAGACGCCAGAAGAGAGAACTTGCGGTCCTCTAGCTCCCCTCCGCATCCGGTGGAATGGTGAGGCGCAAAGTCCAAGCTCACTATCTTCCAGCCAGCTCTGCTGTGTGGGGGTGGAGGGATCTGTATTAGATTTTATAATGTAAGTGATTGGACTCAGCAGTTTAATTTCTAGGAGTATTTCTGAAAGAGATAATATGAAAAAAGCATAATGATCTATAGGTAAATCTATTTGTCTTAGCTTTGTTTACAATATAAACAACTGGAAGCAACCTGACTGTTAAAAAGAATTGATTAATTTGTCTAATGAGAGGTTTTTCCATTAAAAATTTTGCCAATGTTGGGGCTGGAGGTGTAGCTCAGGGGTATAGAGTGAGCTTCATGTGCACGAAATCCTAGATTTAATTCCTAGCTTCACAAAAAAAAGACCATATATTTATTAACAATGGAAATATAACTTACTTTAAAAACTATGTCTATGTATAATCATGTTTTTTAAAATAAAATATGTATGATTCATAGACTAAAGTAGAAAGTTATTGAGAATGTTAACAGTGACAATCTCTGAGTAATTATTGCTGGACATTTTATTGTCTATATAAAATTTTTACATTTCCTAAATGATTCGTAAAATTTACATAGTAATTGTGCATTACATTTTTTTTGGCAATACTTGTTATTGAAGCCAAAGCCTTTACATTGAACTATATCCCCAGCTCTTTTCTAAATTTTTATTTTGAGATAGGCTCTCTCTAAGTTGCCCAGGTTAGGCTTCAACTTGAGATCTCCTGCCTCTCAGCCTCCCAGAGTGTTGAGATTACAGATATATAGCACCACACCAAGCTAAGTATGATTTTAAATGCTACTTCCCTTTACAACTCTTCTTAGCAATAAACATGGCAACCTGTGATGCTGACATGCATGAGAATTTGTAGTGGAGGAGCAGTGTATAAAGCAGTTTGCATAGCTCATGGGGGGAGGGGGTTTGTGGACCTAATGGCAAGGTAGGCTGCAAACAAATACGAAAGAGACATTTTCTTGGGGGACACAATGAAACTCAGAGGGGGACATAAGCAACATTATCTCAGTGCCTTGAGAGGGCTTTGCATGTGACACAGAGAGGGGCAAAGAGGAGTTCTTCTTAAGTCAGAGCAGCAGAAAGGAGGAGTTAGGGGAATTCTGCCCATTCTGGCCCCTCAAGGGTAGAGAACAGAAATGTTCTTGACTCATGTCAACACGAACACACTGGTCCATTAGTGAGAGCCATCGATGCAGAAGCCAAGCCAAGTCGCAGAGGACTGAGTAGGGAAAGGTGGCAGGGGTGGGCAAGGCTTGTCAAAATGGGAAACAACAGATTTCCCTGCTGATAGAAGCATCCAATGGCCAGAGAGAGTCTCAAAGTGTAGGGAACTCTTTTCACACCACCCATGGTCCTGATTTGATCTCCTCCCACCGTGGTTTTCATGACTACTTGTGGAGAATTCATCAAATGCCATACTTAAAGCTAGAGCCCAGAAATAACAAAATGTGATAAATAAATGAAAGCTTTGACTGATCTCCAGATTCAAACCATTAACTCATTGTATCCCATTCAGTAATATCTCTGATACTAACTTAATGCCTAACACACACACACACACACACACACTTTTTCTTAGGTATTAACTCTATCAGTAATGTCACCGCCATCCACCTGGTTGCCCATGCTAACTACCCAGGCATTCTCTCCTGTCTCTCCCTTGTGTCTCCCCATATACAACAAGTCAGCATGCATTAGTTCACCCTCCAGATAACTCTTGAATCCCTTTTCATCCTTCTTACACCACTGTTTTTGATTCTCTCTCTCATTGATTTGCTTTAGGACTATTACAAATCTTTCCCCTCTCTCCAGCCTGTTCCTTGTTCTGTCATACACTGATGGACTTTTTCCTGTTAATAGCATGATTTTCCATTCAAATGAGACCTGCCTATTTGGACCTTCAAAACAAAATTCATGTTAAGTACACAATAAATGATTGGCTGACCAACTAAATGAACAGTTAAACATAGATCAAGACTGCTGGTTCATTCTTATTCTGGGATAACTTGAGCTAATAATCCTTAATTACAACAACCTAATCTCTGTTGGTCCCCAGCAAAGATTCAAAACAGTTATCTTTTGCCCACTAGTGCTGTTCTTGAAATTTTGTGACACATTACATGTTCATATTTTTCACTGTCTGGCAAGACAAGATTCAAGAGAACCACTGGTATGTATTCTACACTTACTGATATTATTTTGTAAAACTTATAGAAGACTCAATGGCTAAGACTGGGAAGAAACATTTTTTTTTAAATAAGAAAAATAAAAAGACAGCTGTGGTAATCACATGTCACCTATTTAGCTTTGGTATATGGGAGCTATGAAGATACATTATGAAACAATTTATTTCCAAATCACAAGAGGAGAAAAACAAAATACCAAACATCAACTAATACAGTGTTGTGCAAGTCATGCAAGAGCAATTTAATTTTCTTCTATGAGAAAGTGGCAGGCTATGCTGACAAGAAGAAATCAATAACAATCAAAATAATCAACTCTTTCAACAAAGATCCCAATTGTGACCTTACCACCCATAAGCTGGGAAGATGCTCTCCTGTTGAAAAGCAGCTAATTTCAGATATATATGTGATACCAGCATCAAGCCATTGCACAAAGAATAGCTAAGATACTCTTTCACACAAAGTTTAAGAGCCACCTTTTCCAATGCTATAAAATTTAGAACAAAGAAGCGTATCAGTACAAAAACCCTCTTTTCAGTTCTGTTTATATTGAAGGTCTAAAATATTGGCCCTGTGGGACATATTTTATCCTTAACATTATAAAGGCTAATGATATTTCTTTACATCATGTTCTTACTTAGATAATTTATAAATTGCATCTTTCAATTTTATACAAAAAAGATTTTAGTAAGACAACTCTATTGAGTTTTAAAATGATGTAAATATTTTGTTTCAATGGGGTAGAAGCCTGTGTTTTTAATATTAGAGTTATTCCTACTCTTCCTAAAACAATCTGAAAAGATATTTTAATCAAAACACTTGGACCACAATTTTTAAATAAGCAGATATTAAATTAAAATTGTGTCCTATTTGTGTGTACAGTCACAAACCTAAGGGTTAACCACCTCCATTACTAAGAGATGTTCCAAATGAGGACAAAGTACTGGCCATGGAGAAGTCATATCTGACACCTGAGTTTCACTTCTCCTTTGGGTTTTCTCACTTGTGATAGTCATCAGTGCTTGTCAACAAACAACTTGAGTGTTCTGCTTCTGGATTTATGGTGAGACTAGTTATTGGCTAACTAGTTGGGTGGGGTCTACCTGGCTGTTCTGTTGTGAACAGAATGTGGCTTTTGTACCTTCCGCGTAGAGCACTGACTCAGTGCTGTGAGACTCTCCAGAGTACTCTTTCTTTTTCTCTGCCACAGCAGCCAGTCACGTAGTAGATGGTGGCCGCTCCTTTGGCTCTGATCATAAAACATGGCAGAACTGAAATTCCTTGTTGCTCTGCATGACATGTCCTGAAATGTAATATAAGTAAGGACTAAGTCTTCTCTCAGTCACTGAAATCATGATGTTGTTTATGGATGCCGCAAAATCTGGCCTCTCCGACCTGATATAGTAAGCTTCTTACTATCTCAAACACCACAATCCTCATCATTTATCTTTGCTAACACTGAGATTCCAACACCGACCAAAAGACTCTGTTCAGTTCCTATTGAAACAGCTGGTAGACACTGGAATTTTTTTAAAATGACATTAATAAATGCACCGAGAGAGAAAAATCAGAGAAGAAGGCTCAAGGAGTCAGACCACCTGGCTACTTCAGAGTGAAGGTAGACAATTCCATCATCTCCTCATGACTCAATTTCCTCAAAAATTAAAAGAAGGATGATAAGAATAGACCATCTCATTTGAATAAAATGTATTTTCTAGAGCCCTGAATCAAGGCCACAGTTTTTTGAAGCTGGTGGTTTCAGGCAGGAGCCTGAAGTTCTGTCTTTCTATGGTCTGTTGGCTGTTTCAGAACTGTAGAAATGAAACAGTCAATTAATTAGAAAAAACAACTCACCCTCCCCCACCCCAGTAAGCCTACTGCCGTGGGTCTGGAGGAGAAGAAGACTCTTCCCTCAGACTCTTCCCTGCCACAGCCTGGAGGAAAGGAAGCTATGGCCCTGGGATTCTACCACCTTTGGGGGAACATCAGTGAGCAACCACCCTGTACCTCTCTGCCACCCTGGTAACCTCAGGTCAGAGGAACCCAGGTACCTAGCCCAGTGCACTGCACTGCAAGATGGGCAGCCAATACAGGAAACACCTGGGACTCGGCAACTGGCTGATTTGGAGGAACAGGAAATTGTCAGGACAAAGAGCAAAGTGCTCCTGCAATAAGTACACAAGTCAAGCCGGCATGGTGGTATACACCTGTAATCCCAGCACTTGGGAGGCTGAGACAAGAGGATTGTTGCAAATTCAAGACCAGCCTGGGTTACAAAGTTAGCTCAAGGCCATCCTAAATTGCAGAGCAAGACCTTGTCTCAAACACACACACACACACACACACACACACACACACACACACACACACTCACACACACCAAACAAACAAAAAAGCACAACAACAAACCCAAGTACAGAAGACGTAGACATAAATTAGAAGTCACACACCTGATATTTCTGAAATGATAGCAACTGACGTAGAGACAACTTAGTGCTTGTGCTGTTTGATTGACTTTGCATACCTGCATCTGGTGCTCTGAGCATCTATTTAGAGGATAACAATGTGCGTTACAGTAACTATGACTGTCTTGTTTTGAAATCCAATACATTCCCTTATTTTTTGTTTCATTTTGTTGTTTTGTTTTGTTTTATCATATTTAAAAGAAGAAAAAAGATATATTTTCATGAGCCCTTACTTGCTCACTCTCTTAGCTTCAGTTCCCCAGAACTGAAACAAATGTGATGTGTGAGAACTTTACTGAGACCCTTAAGAGAAGAGGAGAAGGAGGAAAACAGGGAACATGGAGCCAATGCGTGTGTGAGGGATGAAACATGAAGTGGGGTGACTGGTCACACAGAACGACAGGACCAACTTAAAGTCTTTCAAAAACATTTCTCCATTTACGGGGGAGGGGATATAAAAGAGGAAGCACGTTCCCATCGGCTTCTGTCCCACACTGGTCAAAGGTTAGTGCCTGGGCACAACGGGGTGTGGCCTGCAACTTGTTACCCACAGTGAAGCCTGAGATGGGAGACAAGAGGCTGGCAGTCATATCTCCTACATCAAGCTAGTAAGAATATCACAAAACCGTTCTCCTTACCTATGTCTGGGAGAAGAGACTGGTGAAGCCACAAAGATCTAAAGTGGTTAAACAACAACAAAAAAATCCTTCCAAAAAACCAGATCCACCACCTATTTAAAACTTCAAGTACCTCAGTCGGAAAATTTCTCATTCTCCTACCATGTCTTTTTCCTTCCATTCTATTCACCATCATATAACATGCGATATATTTTACTTAGCTCATTCTGAACCCCCCCCCTCCAACCAGCATTTGTGACATTAGTGTTATCTCAAGTGCTTAGAGAAATGTCTGGCACAGAAGAAGTCAGTCCTCTCTAAAGATGGCTTTTAACATTTTATTTTGATATAATTTCCCGCTTACAGAAAATTGGCAGAGAAAAGTACAAAGACTAGAGACACTTTAGCCAAATTCACTGTTATTAACATTTTGCCACATCAGCTTTCCCTGTCTCCATCTCTGCCGAACCATTTTGAGAGTAGTCTGTGAACGTCACGCTCTCTTCACTTTCAGATACATAAATGTATCTGCGTATATGAACATCAGTTTGGAGCAATTGTTAAAATCAAGAAACTTAACATGCAGTTGAACAGGCTGTTCATATCTGAATGTTGTCAATTATCCCAATAATGCACTTTATAGCAAAACTTTCTGACTTGGGTTTCAATCCATGATCACATAATGCATTAATTGGTTATGCCTCCTTAGTCTTTTTAACCTGGAATATTTCCTTAGTCTTTCCTTTTCTTTTATGACTGACACTTTTAGAAGACTGCAGGCTTGGTATTTTGTAGAAAGTCCCTCAGTTTAAATTTGTTTGATGTCCTATAATGGTTAGACTTATATGGCAAAGAATACATGAACAAAATCTTAGCGTCAAACAAGGTGGTTTCCTAAGTACAGTGCTCTGATCATTTCCTAAGCAGCTACTCCCAGACTCTCTCACTCCCTTTCTTAGAGTGTCTGAACTCTCACTCCAAGGGACTTCCTGGCTGCACCAAGTTCCTTCCTTCCTGCCTCCTGATCTAACTCCACATAAAAGGTCACATTTATTACTCTTCATTGTCTAGGAACTCCTGTTTAAACAACTTCAACTCTTGTGGCAAAATTGAGAACTACATTCCACCTCTATAGCTCACTGAAGACTGAGGTTTAATGCTTGCAGGCCTGAGAGACATTCTCCTTCTTGAGATAAGACCCACAAATAGTCCCACAAGGATGAGCTCTTTCCCTAGACTATCCTGTCCCAGGGGAACCATATGTGGCCACACACTTGCAGTCACACAGTCTATGCACTGAGAAGACAGTTTCTTATGACAACCCCTAGCTCCAAAGGAAAGAGAAGTTCCTAATGAGGCACTCAATCAGCTTTTGTTGAAGATATCAGGAAGATATCATTATATATAGGAAGATATCATTGCTTTTTTTGTAGAGCTGGATGATCAAAATTAAGAAGCTTTAAAATGTGTAAGTGTGCATATGTCCTCCCAGGTATTATGAATACTATTTCACCTCCAAACTGATTGATGAAGTCTACTCTTTTCACGTTAACCTGAGAAACATCAAACAACTGTTCAAATAGGTAAAACATATTAAGTTTTTATCGGACATTAGCTGAGAACTTGTTGATGTGTGTCAAAGACTGAGTTGTCTGCATTCTGTTTATTTTCCCCTCTTCCTTTCTACAGTGGGTAACACCATGTCATGTTAAAACAATATATTCTCCAACTTTCTTGCAAGAGGAGTCAATGGCACACAAACAGAAAGCACTTGTCTCGCCTTTCTTTGAACCAGAAGGGGAGATATTAATATAAGCTCGAAAGAAACCATTTTTAGTGCAGAAGGAGCCCTCAGGATGTAAGAGCAGATGGTAGGACATTTAAAATGATGCAGGACTACACTTTACCTGGACTGCTTATCTTTTGTCTCTGTGATATTTCAGGGAAAATAACATTTTGCCCTACTTAAACCAGTGTTACTGGATTTCTAACCTAAGATTAGCTAATAGAATTGCTGAGTATAGCAGTTTGATGCATGTTTGTCATGAATTTGAATGTTTATGTCATATTTGCCATCTAGGGAATAACATATTTTGGAACCAACCAAATGTGAAGGAAATTAAGGTCATCAAAATGCATTTTAAGGAAAGCCATGCTGAGCCTGGGAGACGTAGCAAGAAGCCAGTTTGCCCTTCCTGTGACCCACCACAAGCCATGCAGAGCCCAGAGGAGAAACAAGCCAACTGTGAGTTGGTGGAAGCCATGCTGGGCCTGAGAAGAGTGACAAGAAGCCCATTTGCCCTTCCCATAAGCCAAGCCAGACGGTGCCCTGGCTGGAGGATAACACTGCCTCTCACCCCCAAGCAAACAGATGATGTGGAGGATAGGCTGTGTTGATAGCAACTGAGGTACAAAAACAACTTAATGCTTGTAATGTTTGATTGACTTTGCGGGCCTAAGGCGACTGAGCATCTATTAAGGGGATAACAATATGCAATATAGCAAATATGGGGGATTTCCTTTGTCTTATTTTTGAAACTCAATATTGTTCTCACTGTTTGTTTTGTTCCATTTTATTTTGTTTTATTCAGTGTCCTGTTTTAATTGGTTTTATTCTGTTCTGTTTTGTTTGATTTTACTATGTCTGATAGTAGGGGGAGCAATTTTTCAGATAACAAGAGGTCTTATGGTAGCCATTGTTGATTTCCTATTATCCAGTTTTGAAATCCTGTATCACTATCACTGTTTGGTTTTGATAAACTTTATTCTATTTTTTTGGCTTTATTCTCTTTAAAATACACTTTTATTCTATTGTTTTGATTGATTTTATTTTGTTTTAATTTTTTTATTTTATTATGTCTGATGGTGAATAGCCATTTTGAAGAAAACAAGAGACATTATGGTAGCCATTTTTTATTTCCTATTATCTTCGTTTGAAGTCCTGTATCACCTTCATTGTTCTGTTCCGATTAGCATTATTCTGCTTTCTTTTGTCTGATTTTATTCTCTTTAAAATAGAATAAAAGAGTAATGTTAATCCTCTACATAGTTTGGTTGCTTTATTGTATGATAATTAGAATTACTTTCTACAAATATTTTTCCTCAGTGATTTAAGTTTTTCACAGACTCCCAAAATTTTTTAAAAAACAATTGTTTATTACTGAAAATATTTGTTGATTTTCCTGATTATGTAAACAATATACATCCTATATCATGGATGAAATGTAAGGGCAGTATGCTAAGAGAACTAAACCAATTAAAAGACAAGTATTAGGTGATTCCACTTGTATTCACTAGATTACTAGTTCCAAATTGATAGGAAATAGGATCCTGGTTTCCAAAGACTTGGGGTGGGCAGGAAAAGAAAAAATTTGTTTACTTGGTACAGAGTTGCAGTTTGCAACATGAAAAAGTTCTAAAGATTGATTGCATAATATGAACATATTTAAACTCTTCGATGAAGTTGAAAGAGAAGGAAAACTCCCAAAGTCATTCCTAAAAACTAGCACATCTGTATTCCAAAACTAGAAAGAGATCCAACCAAAAAAGAACTACTGACTAATCCTACCAAAAGAAACCCTGAATTCATAACCCAACTCAGCAGCATAGCAGGATGTAAAATCAACACACAAAAATCAATGGTGTTTCTGTACACCAATAGTGAATTCCTACAGAAAAAATTTTGGAAAATAATACCATTCATAATGACATCAGGAAAAATTGAACATTTAGGAATTAACCTAACCAAGGAAGTGAAAGGCCTCTATAA